AGCCAGAGCAACAAATCAGTGCACATTTCTCAGGAAAATTTATCCACATATAAAATAGTTCGCAGTATATTATTACAAAAAAATTGTGATGTGAAAATATTTTAAAGCTTTGAAAACTTACTCCTAATTTTAATTTAAATTCCTGTTTGAAGGTATGATAATTTATTAAACATTTTTCTTTGTTTTATTATTATTTTTTACTGTATTTGATTAGTTCAGTAGGCTTAAATGGATAATGTAACGCTGTGTCAAGAGGAGCTGCTTAATTGTTCTTGGATCAATAAGCTATATGAGTGTTTTTCAAAYAGTCCCCAAAAGATAAACTGATGAGTCTTTAAAAATGGATTAGAATGCTTGTAAAAAAGATAATGTAACTGAATATGAATGTATAAAAAATGTAAATGGGAGGTTTAAGAATCACTGTTCCAAAGTTCYTCAATAGGTGCAGAATTAATTTGCTGCTTCATCAGACTCAGAGTAGAGGTTTATGAGTACGAGGAAACTTCTCACTAAAAATCAAAGTTATTTTGGAACCCATGTCTTTTTGTTGTGACTACCCTATAGAAAACTGATTCTAAAGCATCAAATACACAACTACTCTTTGCATTTCTGTCAAACCACATGTGCTGGAAATCTGGTCAATTTTTTTAGAATTAACCTCTGAACACGRGATTTTCAAGAACACTGTGTATTCTAAGCGTGGGACCAATTCAAATTAAATATAACAGAAGTTTAAAGCATRATGGCCACATCTGCTGGATGATAAGATATGACGGATAAGATGGATGTCCATTTGTGGCTGCCAAACTTTCTTGTCAACATGAACTTTCCATCCTGTGCTTGAGTTATGCCAAGGCCAGAAGGTCTGGAAGTTCAGGTTTTGAAGCATAACTCGTTTAGGATTTTTTTTAACCCTCCATTTACTCTTAACTCGAGCATAACAACACAGTAGTACAACTCAGTTTATTTAGATACCTAAGATTAAATTGGTGCTCATGAACTTTGGGGTTTCCAAACAGTGAAGAGTTTCTTTCTCCATCAGTATGGTTTTAGTCTGTTAAATATGAGCAAAATAGTGCAGCTACCTCAAAACTAGAATTATTCACGTGTTCAATATAACTTCTACAAATTACAAATTTCTAACACAAATTCCTATCATATTAAAAACATCTTCAAACATATGGGTCACACATTTGCACACGTGGAGTCATTTTATCTATAATATAGAGCTACAATTAGGAGAATAGATAAAAAAGCCCAGTGATTCTGTACATTCATGACAAGAACAGGCTCAAGATCCTGCCTTAAAAGGGGARCACTCTGCATGTAGATTACATCTTCCTGAGGTCACGGCTTCATTTAGCGCAACAGTGCACAAAGTTCACTCTTCAGTATGAGCTTTGGTTTGAGTCATGGTTAGTTACATTTTAAGTAATGCAGAGAAAAGAAAAGAAAACATACATGATTTTATTTTYATAAAGAAATGTTCCAAGTTCTTAGGATGCTCAGATGCTGCATGCTGGTTAAAAAAGAGTAGACTGAGCACTTTGGAATAAATAAAGTGTCTACAAATACAGGTGCCATATAAATAAAGTTTTAATCTTTTGATCAGTGCTGAACCATCTTTGTGGAATTTATAATCATTATAAAAATAATTTTATTCATTGATTAACATTTTATCTAAATTTTCTGACAAAAATTTGCAAGTGCTGTCAGTTATTTGATTAAATTATTACATTAATAAAATAATGTTTATTTTATTCCACTAGAGACATGTTTGAAGTATTTTATATACTAAAAAATAATTGCCATCTTTTTCTATTTTATCATTTTGTGAGATAAATCCTGCAGCGCTGGTGTGTCCAGTCTATAGGTGGTTTGAATCAGCTGTAAATGGGGTCTTCTCTGCTTGCTGCTTTTATGAATAGCTTTGGCCCATAAACCAAGTTCATCTGTTTCATCTCGTCTTCAATTCTTTTTGAATGAGAACATCTGTAGATAAAGTCTTGAATTACCAAGGAGGAATGCTTGAATTAGAAACTTTGTCACTGCCGTCTAACTGCTTGCTCTGCTTTTATGCTGCCATCCAAGAGAGGGAGATTTTTTTTTTTTTTTGTTGAACTAACCCTGCATGTTTCTTCAAAAAGCCCAGAATATGTTTCACTTTTCTGATGGCATCTGACACACAATAACCTCATGGTTGGTGTCTTGAATTATTCACACCTTTATTTTTTATATGTATTTATGCGGCTGAAGAAAAAGCAACTGTCTGTTGATATACAGAACACAAATTCTCAAGATTTTTAAAACTCCTGCAAGCTTGTTCCAAAAATTGTAAGAAAATAGTTTATTTTCTTATATACAGTTTGTCACTTTTATGCTGCCTCAGTGTAAGATTTTTATGAAACAAAAACCAAAGACGGGCGGCACGGTGGCTCAGTTGGTAGAGCTGATGCCTCTCAGCAAGAAGGTCACCGGTTCAAATCCCGGTCCGGGGACCTTTCTGGGTAGAGTTTGCATGTTCTCTCCGTGCATGCGTGGGTTCTCCCATGGTTCTCCCATGCGTGGGTACTCCAGCTTCCTCCCACAGACCAAAAACATGACTGTTAGGTTAATTGATAACTCTAAATTGTCCCTAGGTGTGAGTGAGAGAGTGTTGTCTTGTTTGTCTCTATGTGTGGCCCTGTGATGGACTTGTGACCTGTCCAGGGTGTACCCCGCCCCTCGCACTGTGAC